GGGGGAAGGAAAGTTATATGTTTCCTCGTTGCTACCCTACACCCTAACTGGCTCGTCTCCTCCCCGCGACCCTTCTGAGCAAAGTGTTCTTGTGTTGAGGGAGTACTTGAGTAGAGGCCCAATGTCCATCTGCTACCTTTAATACTTAACAAATATGTACATAGCTCTATTTCCCTATCATTATATAAATATATTTACATATGTACATGCCTGTATTTAGACCTCTATAAATGCCCTTTGCCTCCTAGTTCTTTCCTATATTTCCTTTTACTTTCCTCTTGTACCACTATACTTAAGATTAATTACCAACCCCACTGCTGTTGAGTGAATTCTGAACCACACCAACCTTTTAAGGCAGAGTAGATCTGCCTCACAGGGTTTCACAGGCTGTAAATATATTTTTTGTCTTGGAAGAAAAAAAATTTTTTTTTTTCTGTTTGTCTTCCTATTACTTTTCTTGGGAGACATGCAGCCAGAGTGAGTACAGCCAGTGCTCTTTAGAGGCAAGGCTAGGATAGTGAGACTTTGTTTCACATAGTTGGGACCTATTATCAGGAGAGGCCATTCTCTGGAAAAGGACCTCATGCTTGGGAAAGCAGAGGGACAGCAAAAAAGAAAAGGACCCTGAAGAGGATGGATTGATGTAGTGACTGCAACAATGAGACCGAGAACACAATGGACACAAGAACCACCGAGGATGGCACAGGGCCGGGCAGGGTCCATTCTTTGCACATGGTCACTTGGAAGCAGCCTGCCACAGCTTTCTTAAACCTTTCAGTTCTCAGCCAAGAGCCGTAACCACTACACCACCAGTGAGTTTTGAAAATGACTTTAACAATTACAAATGTATGCAATAGAATTCTAAGAGACCATAACAATGTCAAACCATTTTTAGAAAGACACAAGTTGTCCTTGGTAGTTTAAAAAAAAATTTTTTTTAAGAATGTTTTCAACTACTTAATGTGACACACACACACAAAAAGGGCAAAAATAAAGTCGAGACAGCTTCACAAATTATTATACACACTAAAAAATTATTATACACTAAAGAGCCATGATGGTGGCCTTACCCTTGAAATGTCCCCTTGAAATTCTGTTCATTTTCATTTTACTATTTTGGAGTCATGTTAAAAGGTGCACAATATAATCTCTAAACCTTGTCATCTTAAATGTTGTCACGCTATAATTTAGTTTAACTTTTTAATCCCAAAACTTATTTCAAATTGTAACTATTCATTTACTGTCATCTACATATTTACTACGTTTTCACCATTCTTTCTTACAGCTTAGAGCTTCCATTTGTAGAGATTTTCATGATGTACAGGTGGGTTTTCTTTTAAAAAGAAACTACTAGGGGTGTGTCAATCCAGAGTTTGTTGCTCAGAAAATATAATAATATTTGCTTTCATCTTTGAAGGATGTTGTTGTCTGATCTAAAATCCCAGGTTAACAGCTATTTCTGGTGCACACTGACAAGGTCATTGCACTGCATTGAAATTCCTATTACTGCTGCTCCTTTGAAGGTTTTCTATTCTTTTATTGCGGTTGCTTTTAAGAATTTCTCTGTTTTTGAATTTTTTGCAGTATAATTCTGATGTATCTAAATATAGATTGTTGTGTATCACCACTATCCATACATTTTCAGGATTAACCTCTTCAAATATTGTCTGTGCTCTACCCTTACTGTCTTTTCTGGAAGTTTGCTTATACATTAAAATAAAAATAAATAAAACCTTACTGCCATTGAGTAGATTACAATTCATAGCAATCCTGTAGGTCTGGATAGACCTGCCCCTATGGATTTCAAAACTACAAGTCTTTATGGGAGGAGTAGCTAGTGGTTTCAAACTGCTGACCTCATGGGTAACAACCTAACATGTAACCACCGTACCAGGACTCCTTTGACTGTGTTAGATCTTTTCAATATATTCCCTATGTCTTCTGTATGTTCCACCTCTCTATCTTTCTCTACTAATTACATATATTTTTTCTCATCAATCTTCTGTTCTTTTAACGTGAAGCTATGCACTTTTCATTTCAATTGTAATTTTTTTCAGAAATACTATTATGAATCTTTTCCAACTATGCTTCCTGTTATAGTTTTCATTTACAGTGTAAATCTAAAAATTTCAATAACAGACTTTTTTTCCTATTGTTTGCGGTTTTTGTTAGTTCTCATTAATGGAAGTCTACTTTGCCTCTGTGCTTGTTTATCTTGAGTTTTATGCTGAACACTGTACCTAAAAAAGTATTTGAAGGAATAATAGAGTCGTGATGAAGTTGTCTTCTCCCAGAGGTTTTTTTCATTTGCTATTGCCAAGCACTCAGGGTTATATCAAGTGCAAGACACACCAAACCAAGCATAAGACCAATTTCTATACATCTATCTTCAAATTTTAAATTTTTCTCTAGAATTACCACCTAGATAATTTTTAAGAGCTTCCAGTTTTTTGAGATTTGTTATTTATTTATTCATGAGCTTTTCTTTAAAAAATTCTTTGACTATATTCATTATTGTTGTTCCGACATTTTTATCTGTGAAATTAGAGTCCGTTTGCCAGTGACTTTTTCCTTGAGCCATACT